ATCCCATTACGGGCCTATTGGATCCCATCACGGACGTGATCGTGCCGGTGCTCGATCCCATCACGGGCCTACTGGATCCCATCACGGACGTTATACGTGCCCGTGCTCGATCCCATTACGGGCCTGCTCGATCCCATCACGGACGTGATCGTGCAAGTCGACCCCATCATTGACATCGCACCCATCACGAACGTACTCGAACCCATCATTGATGTACTCGATCCCATCACGGGTGGCCTCGACCCCATCATCGACGTACTCGTTCCCATTCCGGACGTGCCCGAGGCCCTTCCAGAAGTGATCCAGAACATTTTGGACGTACTCGATCCCATCATGGACATCGCGCCGATCTCGAACGTACAGCCAACGTACTCCAAAGGGCCTCGGTATGGGCCGACGCACGTCGACTACGCGGCCAACCACCACTACCGAGGGGACTCGTTTGATGTTGACACGGAGACGATTGCCAGCGAAGAAGGGTGCCCCGAGGTTCCGTGTCGCGAGGTCTTGGACTTTGTGGATGGCAAGTGCACGTACACGCAGCTGCCGCGCGGTACGCTTTGCCCGGGCCAGAGCTGCGACAACGGCGGTCCGTGCGACGCCGACGAGAACGACTACTGCGACGGCGACGGCAAGTGTCTTAACGGCTACAAGGACCAAAGCACCGTCTGTCGCGGTGCTCGCAACCTCTGCGACGCGGCTGAGCTCTGCAGTGGCGACAGCAGCCAGTGCCCGCACGACGAGTTTGCGCCGTCGTCCAAAGTGTGCACCAAGATGGGCAAGTCCACGGGTGGCCCGTGCGACGCACCTGACTATTGCGACGGCCATGGCCGCTGCGTCGACAAGTTCCAGTCCAAAAGACACATTTGCCGCCGCGCCGTCGATGTCTGCGACGAGGCAGAAACGTGCACGGGCGTCAGCGGCGACTGCCCCAGCAACAGCTTTGCACGCAAGGGAATCGAGTGCACCGCGATTGGCGAATCGTCGGGCGGCGCGTGCGACGACGTTGACCACTGCGACGGTTACGGCAAGTGCATTGACCACTTTAAAGGCACGAAGCATCTCTGCCGCCGGGAAGTCGACGTTTGCGACGAGCCCGAGTATTGCTCGGGCGAATGTGGCGTCTGTCCCGACGACGACTTTGCGCCCATGGGCAAGGTCTGCACGCAGATTGGCAAGTCGAGTGGTGGCAAGTGCGACGGCGTCGATGTCTGCGACGGCCATGGACGCTGCATTGAAACTTTCCTCGGCAGCGACGTTGTCTGCCGCCAAGCGAGTGATATTTGCGACGTGCCCGAGTATTGCACGAGCTACAACGGCAAATGCCCCCACGACCAAGTTTGCACCCCGAACGACCGAGTGCACGTCGATCGGAGAGTCGTCCGACCACGCGTGCGACGGCGTCGACTACTGCGACGGCAGCGGCAAGTGCGTCGACACCTTTGCGAAGGACACGTTGTGCCACGCCGCCGAGGACCTCTGCGACACGAGCCGCTTCT